TGGCTGTTTCCGACAGATTATGGATTCTTACAATGGTGCCATCACTTGTGAATGTGTTGTGACAAGGGTGAATTACACGTAGTGTAAAAGCTGCTTTTGAGTGTCGGAAGACTAGAAAGGCGCATACAAGTACAGGTCCATTTACCAATTACATTTACTAAACAGCTGCTTTTTAACCTTGCTATGGATGACATTCAGCATGACTGCCTGACACATCGATGGACTTGAGGTACATGATCATGCTTCTCCATCAGGACACCAGGGGAGCTGACTACCAACGTGAAACTAACACACATACACACACATACATGTGACATGATTACAGTAGGAGAGCTGAGTCAGTAAGCATGTACACTCATAGACTCACAGAAGAAACAGAATTCTCTTATAAACTGTAAAGTGGGTGCAACACTACCCTTGGAGCAGACTGCAGGCAGCTGGTAGCAGAGACTCTTTCCTCTTCCCGTGGGCATTACCAGGAACAGATCTTTGCCGGAAAGGGTCAGGTTGACAGCCCTCAGCTGTAGCGGTCTGAACTTGGAGAGGTGGAACGAGTCCTTCAGGTGCTGCTCCACTTCTTTGGACCAGGGGAAATCTATCAAACATTAAGAGATTAACACAGGTCGACACACAAACCCACTGACTAACTGTACAGCCGTGTGTACAGTACCTGTGCTATCATAGCGCTGCATCTCCTGCTTGCTCATTACTGCATCAGCTCTGGATGACTTTGAAGAAGACGAGGATGAGGAAGAGGATGGCTGTGCAGCATCACAGGCCTCCTCCAGCTGCTGCAGCAGAGCATTCTTACGAGTAGTCAGCTCGGTCTGCTTCTGCAGGAGGTCTGCGATCTGCAGCTCCACCAGCTCGAGCTCTGCCTCCACTGAGTCCAGCTCCCCCTGCACATCTGGACAGGGACAACACAGCATGAATAATGCTGGACACAGTATGCATATAAAACTCCCATTTGAGAACAACTTCTCACAATCTATAAACACACAAAATTGCCCTTTTCACATCCCATCAGTGAAAGCCATTAAGACAGCGCGACTCCTATTACAAGCTGCAGTCTGTTTCTGGGTTCACATCTCAAATCAGCAGTTTCAATACAGCCCTGTCTATCAGAATTAACACCCAAAATATTCAATTTATAATGAAGAGGAAAGTGACAAATCTTTATATTGGAGAATGCTGGGCAGTATTGCTAAATAAATTACCTCAAATATTAATGGATTAATCAACTAATTGTTTCAGCTTTACTATCAAGCCGAGTTTTTATCAGTTAATAAAAATTTCCAAATCTATTGTTTTCCCCCTTAATAGATGTTTTATACAGGAGTTCACAAGTGAATTTCTAATCATCTGTTCATATCAATATGTATAACACTTCCTGCAAAGTAATGCGCTGGTGGCAGGTCAGAGCTTTTTTATTGCTCACAAACACATTCTGGTGTTTTAGAGAGTTTTGAACTGTCAGAATGCAGCATTATTATAAACTACTGTATGTGCTAGCTTATGAACTGCTCACAGTCGACATCTTTTGTCCACGTCCACACACTGTCTCATTCCCTCATCATCTCCTTGCAGTTCTGATGACTATGTAGAAGTGTAGTTTTTGTGTAGAAAACCATAAGAAGTATCATTCTGGCATTGCTACTGAAACTCAGGTATCATACTGGCACTGCTATTGACATTTTGCAAACTATACTTAGCCCTCGTATTAAGTGTAAAATTAGAACAACACAGGGATAGACATTTGTGCAGCAGGTTCTCTCAGTGGAGTTATCCTAATAGCATGAACAGGGAGGAGACAGTCAGGTCTCACACCTGCACAGGTACTTATCCTCTGAGGATCACACCTCCACAGCTAATGATCTCACTCCTTCTCTGTGCACCTCCCCAGTGACCCTTTAGAACCTCCTCTCATACAAAAACAACAGCCTGATTACAACAGTGGACCATGTTACATCTCAGCACTCAGCAGGTCTTTAATAACATCTGGCTCATTTTTCATGCGAAAAAAAATGATGCAACGTAGTTTGCTGACTAAATATGTCAACAGTTTGTTTCTAGGCTTGGAAATAATAAGAGACTTACCACTACTTCTGCCACCATAATCCATATTTCTCAGACTGATTTGCTCAGAAAGGAGCCAACTTTCAGACTGTCAGATGCTGTGTGATCGTATGATTCTCTGCAAGACAGGAAAACATCCACAAATTCAGTTTGTTTACTTTTTAACCTTTAATTCCCAGTTTGTGCAGCTCAACTATTATCATAATGATAACAGGTGAAATACAAAAAGAATGGGCTACTTCTGACTCTATTACAGTTAAAGCTGCAGTAGGTAACTTTTGGTCATATTTACTGAAACCGTTACTATATCTTGACAGTAGAACATGAGACGGATAGTCAGAGCAGAGAACATCAGAGTGTAGAAAGATAGTTGAATGTTCTTGAGTCTCATTCTCAACAATCAACTATCTCCAAGCCCCAAAGTGTCTTTCTATCTTTCTTGGCTCTGATTTGTTGTTTTTGTCCGGTGGATTATTAAAGTTATTTTTATAAAGATTACTTTTATTATTGGTGGTAGTAACTGTTACAATAATTTAGGCTATAAGTTAAGTACTTACCAAGTATTAGTTCATTGTGGTTACACAGTAACGTTAAATTCCACGTTTTGTTCCATTAACACCAAGCCCCCATAGCTGGCCACAATTCATGCATCTCAACTTAAGCTAACTTAGCTACGACTCATCAGCGCTGCACCTGCTTCATCTCACACACAGCCGTTAGCTTAATGGACACTTAACCAGCACAGTGTGGAGCGTCATGTTAAAGAGGACTAACTCAACTTTTCTCCTCTATTTAACGTTAGCTAGCCAGATAAGGCTAGCTACTCGAAAAACTGTCCCTCTCTGTTGTGAGCTTAAAGTGTCTGGGACAAGACTTTGAAAGCATAAAACAGAACTGACTCGCTAACTAACCATTCAGCAACTCCGTCCACGGCCCATCCTTGTTGCTGAATCCACTTCACGGTTGCTATAGTAGACTGCGCCGAAGCAGGGCGAGTTCAGCGAGATAATCGCCCTGCGTTTAGCCTGTCAGGCTGCCACCTCCTGCTGGTGAATTAACACACCTTACTAACCATGGTTCGGTTTAAGGTATTTCACGAAAAAAATGTATGTAATCTAGGTTAAATACATACTTGGTTTGAAGCTAAAATATCAGGTCTACATAAGCGCTGTCTGACAGGCAAACACCGGGGCAAATTAACTATGATGCGTTCAAGAAAGTGTTCATTGAACAATAACAATACCTTCGGATTGTTGAAATGTTTTACATTTTAAGTAAATATACGTGACATATGCAGTCTAGTAAGTGAGTGATATACCAGCAGAGTACATATATTGTGAATGAAGAAAAAAAATTGGACTTTTACTTCCGGAACAAGAGGCTTCAGAAATAGCTCCTCCCACTTTGAAATTATAAGGCATCAGTCATTACAATTATTACATGTCAACAATGTAGAATGAACAGACAACTATATACAAGACATTAAACATTGACACGGAGACAATGAAGTATATGATATAAAAAATTACATAAATGAATAAAATAAATTAAGTACTCCCACTTCGCAGCTCTAAAGAACGATGCTAAAGTTGCCACGTTGAATGCAACACGGCGCTGTTCCGGAAGATGACATCGCGAGAAGGTGTGTTTCCGGAAGACGTGGCTGTTGCTGCAGTGGCAGCTGTCATCCAAATTATTCTTAGAGGAGGACTTGAACAGTTACTCTCATATTTTCTCCGTTTCTGTTTTATCTTTACACATTTTTTTCCTCGTCAAGATGATTTCGCTAACGGACTCCCAGAGTAAGAGCCTTTGTATTTGAGCATCTGTGCAGTTTCCTGCACTCTCTATCCAACCGGCTCCATCTGCAGCAGTGGGCTAACGAGCAATTAGCCAGCCTAATAGCTAACAGCTAACCCTTACTGCTAGTTGTGTGACTTCTGACAAGCCACTGACTATAGTCGACTTTATTATACTAATAATAACATATATTCATGTCGTAATTCCGTATCCTAAAAGCTTTGACTAGCTCAAATGGAGAGCAACGGAGTTCCTGTGGACGCTGTAATTTATTTATTTATTTTGTTGTCATATGTCTTCATGGAGTATTTATAAAGACACTGTCACTGGAAAATACTGAACCCATTCAGTTAAGTGTGGACATATACATCAACAGTTATGACCTGCATCCTCACCTGTCTCACTCTATAGCACGTTGTCTTTGACTTGGCTACACAATGCAAATCTCCCTTTCCATGTGATTTCAATGTGTGCTTCAACAGTCGGTGACATGGAAGAGCATTTAACATGGTGTTAAACTGTGGCCAATCACATTTGAGCTAAGGCTCTGCATTTTATCATAAGAGCCAAATGTTAAACTCAGATGGAATAATTCAACCTCTCTGTGGTGTGTGTGTGTGTGTGTGTGTGTGTGTGTGTGTCCTGCAGAGATTGGAATGGGATTAACAGGCTTCGGTGTATTTTTCCTCTTCTTCGGGATGATCCTGTTCTTCGACAAAGCCCTCCTGGCGATAGGAAATGTGAGTGTTTCTGCTTCGTGTGTTATCTGAGAAATGTACAGGTGCAACTTTCTTTCCTCTGTGTTAGCTGGTGCTGATCAGCTGGTGAGATCACTGTGACATCATCAGGGTTATGTCCTCTGACCTGAAAAAGCTCCTCCACAGCCACAGAAGAAAAATAAATTGTTTTCACATATAGTCAAAGTAGATAAATAAACCTACTTTAATACGTAAAATCAGTTTGATTTTGATGCAAAAAGTTTGCTGTGGGTAGTTTTTTCTCTTTGCTCTCTTGTTTTTCGATTATTTGGTTTATCCCTGCCATTGACATGCAGGGATCACATCAGATTAGAATTTCACCACAAAATTCTACCACCACCACTCGAAAGAACACCATCGGGACCCCCACCACACTCCACATATTCTAACAAATGAGAACACAGAGGAGACAAATATTGAAGCAACATATTTTGATTTTACAGCAAAAAAAAGACACGAAACGTTTACATATAAAACAAAAAACAACCAAATACCGAAACAACACATTCAGGCCACATTCCGCCACTCCAACAAAGAACATCGCTAAAAATAGGTGATGTACCCATACCGGGATTGGCTTTGTGAATCAACACCACGCGGAATGTGCATTCCCGCGCGAAAAGGAGGAATGGTACTAGATCTGCCCCCCCGATATAGGTGAACACCGTGCTTCAGAGACATCCGACTCACAGCCATACCATGCCAAACCTGTAAAACTTCATCAACTGATCACAATAGGAAACACTTCCATTGGACCTCTCCCCGATTTCTAAATAAACACCCCCACTTATTTCCCTCCCGTCAAGAATGATAACCATGAGTGCGACTTCTACCACGACTATGCACAAGTACTGAACGGAGCATCTCTAGTATATAAAAAAACCCGAATTCGCACATCACCAGGCACACAAATGCATCAATCCAGCACACTGCAAGGCCTCCAAACCATGACCAAGACCGCGCGCAGAAACAAGCAAAAGAGGATAACAACAGCCTATAAAAACATAAACACGATCGTAACCCATACTGCCAAAAGAGATATGTCACTCGACTGCGAGCGCACGTGATGAGTCTAAGACGACAACCATACCGAATTAACATGAATATCAGCACACAATCCTTCAATACAGCCCACTACTGCATTTGTAACCAGGGGTTCGCTAGAATACTTTGGTACACGTACGCTCTCGATTATCAGGCGTTTTTCAGAGCCATCACTGATGACGAGAGTCACACTTCACTTTAATTAATTGGTGTGCAAGTCAGAAGCAAATCCCGATCCGGCGGTAATCCTCGCACTAGTATACAAGAAACATAGACATAAGTCTACATGCGTAACAATAAACCATGACCACCACGACCTAGATACAGTGAGACTATGAAACTAGAGCTATCCAGCACAATTGAGAACCTCTCAGCCAACATCACACACACACCCTGTGATCAACAACACTAACCACTGATCATCTACTCTCAAGTCAGTGTCTCTTGCCACCCGACAACCGAACGTTCCACAGTGGGATGGGAATGACGATCTAGAAAAAGAGAGGCACTCGGATCCAAAGCTCTCAGATAAATATCTTCAACAATACAAATAATGGACGGACACTGAAACCTATCTTGGATCACCACTTCCAGGCCTGAAACTTATCAGCCAGGAGAGACGAAGCTCAAACCTGGATGCTTCCTACACATGGAAAGAAAACAATGCGACGCTATTTATGCACACATTGAGACTACACAAAGAAAATACAGAACCCCTATCAAATGGATAACAGAGTGTCAAAGGTGTAAAATCTAACCAACGTAACCAGGAGTGAACTATGTATAGACAAGAAAAGCAGTCATTGTCGTTAACACATGGTGAGAAGGACAGAGACAAACACATGAAAGGCGGTCAGAAAACAGACCACTCTTGCATGCTTCAACAAGAACAGGAGAGAGATACCGCAAATTGATCAGCAGAAAAGAAACTGCGCTCAAAGCTAATAAAACGAACGCCCGGATCAAGCACACACAGAATGAAAATTCCCATCACCTACGACTGTGTGTGCGTTCTACGTCGAGGATGTGAGTGCATTGGTGTGCTCAGGTGTACTACAAACCGATAGAGACGGCAACAGCAGGGAATGCCAGATTGCAAAAACCAAACAGAAATGAAGACCTTCTCGGCCCAAGATCCAGAGTAACATCGATATACTACCTCTTCGATCTGAAACACCGGAGATATCCTTAGAATTCCACCAAAAACAGAGCCCACTCACACACGGGCAGATAGCTAAATAAAGCGTCCAAGCGACAGAAAAAGGCTGGGACTACCACACCTAGGCGTTCCGCCACCAACCATGAGATAGCTTCATGGTACACCACGACATCGCACGAGTCACGTCGCTCACTCCACAGTGTTACCTCGATGACGACAGAGCGAAAAGCGAATTACGCGGAATTTGAATTCTGATACTCCAGAGAGAGCAGCTACATGCTATATTATCATAACGACCGGCAAGAGAGAGAAATGTCCTCCGCCTTGCGAGACAGGAAAAGAGAACATTCCAACTGATTCGCGTAACAGGTCTGCGAGCAATACACAAATATATCCGGAGTATAGCGTATAAAAAGGGCAGCACAAGCCTCACCACGAGTATGTGCACTCACTGCCATACAAATAGACATCAGACAATAGAAGATGGTTAAAGAGCACGAGCTAGTGGATACCTAGAAGAGTATCCGAATCTCTACGAAGGCGCGAGAGAGAACAAAACGAACTAGGGAGGCTGCCCGAGAGCGGAGATGACCAGGTGCCTTATCATTCACACCTTTTGCTTCACATCCTTAATAGAGAAACAGCAAGAGATATACAACTCCTCAATCGAATCAAAAGCCTTAGACACAACAAATAACAGCGAAGGTCAAAAAGGAATAAAGCACACCCCAGAATATACAGATGGAGAGAGAGAGGATGCCCCACACTGGAAAAAGTAACGAGCCTATAGTTAAGGAGCTAGAGAGAGGATTGGAGCAATCCGGCTCTGGTACACTTGCAACGACTCCCAGAGCTGTTCCCCCATACATGTGGCACCCGGGTTGTAGTGTTTAAGCATATATAAATAAGTATCAGCTCACAGAGAGCGGGGCATTGCCGACAAAAAAGCCGATATCCTCTGATCTGAACCCACTAGCGAGCTTCCGGCTATTATATCAGCCTGAGTACCCCCGAGCACACCGATACATCGCCGGTAACGACATCCACGTAGTCCATGTCACAGCACAGGTCAGCCCATCCTCACGCGCTACCGTGCCAGCACAGTCCCTTACAGCCAAGGAGCATCACTAGAATAACCTAATCCTACACACAAACAGCAGGGTGCCCACACCACCACACCAAGCAATGGACACAACAAGCCCATGACGCGCACACAACCACCACCCATCAGACCAAGAAACCCGAAAAATGTCACGCACTTGAGGTTGAGGCTTGAGCACGGACCATAGGCCCACCTCTGCATGAGTCAACGGCGCCCATCATTCCCAATCTATAAAGGACAGACTGGCGCCGACCTTAACCCAGACCTTGCGCCAGCGAGCTATACTTACAACCTCAACATGTTCACCCACACCCGCACCTCCACGTAGGTCCTAGATAATTAAAAACGCACCATCACGACACAAAAAATCGCTCACATGAGGACGACGCCGAGCGAGCATTCAACAAACAAAAAGCAAATTCGAATCCACGCAACTACCTCACCAATCCCGTGTGCCACACGATCCCTGTTTGTTGC